CAGATCTCCGATGATATATAATCAGTTGGTTATCTTATTTGCTTTCTACGTATACGATCAACTAGGGACCAGATTATCACAGGCCAGAGCTCGTCAAATCGACTCTAGAAAAGAAGTTAAATGCTCTCGAGGTGCAAAAGCTTTGCGTGTTTTATCTGCATGTGCCAGATCGATCGATCCCATTCAAAGAAAGAATGTTATCCACCAATCCTCACCAACAGGTTTATCGAGTACATCAACTATGATACTTACCATTAAACCTCAAAGAAGATAACTTCATATGTACTCATCTATCTTCGAATAAAACTTGAATCGATCATTGCAACTTCTATCGATAATCAAGTACGTGTTTAAGAGGAACTCACGTTGACAAATTAGTTCCATCCAGACAGTGTAACCTGATTCTAGCAATTCATCTCTCTCAAATTTATTCAACTTAATCTTCCACTTAGGACCAGTGACTTCATCTCTTTACTGGTATCTCTGAAATCGATTCAAGATCCTCAACACGACTAAAAGACATGCAGCTTCTTCTCAAACTTCTACAACTGACCTTTGATGTGCAGAATATACCTCCAGACTACTTTTAACCTGTTCAAATGCTCAATATTTGATCTGATCTTTTACTCAGCAAATATTGAAATCAATCATCATACCAACTCAGGTTTGTACCAGGATCTGAATCAAAATAATCAAATCATCATCAACATACTAACAAACAATTTGAATGCCTTTAGATCAACTCGAGATACAAAAATATAGTGACCATAATTGAACAGCACCACCTACTTTAATGGATAATCAATCTAAGATTCAAACTACCACGATGAAAACTCTTCATCAGCCACTTTACCTCTGTACGCTTCTACCAAAGACTCTGCCTAATCCGCTTATTGACAATAGGTAACCTTCATAACACCATAGATCATCAGGTGATTGTACTAACACAGTAAACCTATTCTATGAGGACCCACTCGAGTAAGATATTGGCAAGCTTACAATTCTTTTCAAATGGATCCCACAATGAAGCAAATGTACTGTTCACTTCTATGGTTCCATTTCCTCCACTAGAATTAAATTCATCAACACCAAATTCAATTTCATTCTCATCATTGTGTTCAATTGATTTCTATTGACTTTATCAGACTTTACCTCCTGTTACTTATTCATACAACAAACTTATGAAGTTTATAAGGAGGTCAGTCCTACCAAGAGGGAAAGTTTACAGACTTGGGCTCATTAATTATGCTGAATGGGAAATGGTTAGATCACTTAATCATGATAACAATGATGAAATCAGTGACTATCAAATTTCCTGAAGAGTCTTTAATAGGTCTATACATTTGTTGATCAATTCTCAACATTTCAAACCTAAAATTTGATCAACTCTTAAAAGTCTTTTGTGGCTTAAAGAAATTCCATACTACAGAAGATAGTCATCCTTTATCTTCAACTCCGCACCTTACTCAGCTTACAAAAGCTTACCCAAAGTATCTATCTTGTCCCAATAAATTATTTTGTTGAAAAACCATCTGTTGGTTACTGTTCATTTCTGCTTCAAAGATTTATCATCATCCTGATATTATCCAATCTGCAAACACATTGAGGATATTCTATGATACATGCTCACATAATAAGCATAGGTCAGTCTCAAACCATTTATCCAGCTCTGAGTTTGAGTTTATTTTCTGTCATAGGCATTCGAATTCTTCCATACATTTCCATACTGTATTTTCATCTGCAGAATTTCATCATGAGCATTGAACCTTTCCAAAATCCATTTCTCTTGTTCAAGAACTGATATCAGTCAATAGTCTCTATAGACACCAGATCAATCTACAAGATTAGGAAGGCTATCATCCTACCAAATGATTTACTCACAATGTCTCTCAAAATCAATGATCAAATTGAATCAAGAATTTTCTTTGCACATCTTGAGTTAATTTGATAGTCCATCCCATACTAATTCCTTACTGAATGCTAGATTAGAAATCTTTACCAGGTCAGACCATTTGGATTGGATTTCAAGTTTGGTTTGAGTGGATCTATTTGATTGATTTCTGTGTACACCAATAGACCAACACAGGAATTGATTCATTTTAGTGTACAATGCATCTCAATAATTTAGCAGCTGAAAGATGTCAAGAAGCTATGATCTTCAATTCACTTGAGTGTTTTTTGAAATTTGGCTGTTCATTTATGATTTTTACAAATATGTACATCTTATCACTCTTTTTCACACCCACCATGTTCAGACTCTTTTGGTTTGTGCTGGAAAGTGTTTAGATTGATTTGCAATGTTTTTGATTGTCACTTCAATCTTGAACCCAACAAAAACCTTCCTTTGGTGGTGATTAAAAAACAGTTGTGCAGAGACCCTCAAAGCAACCAGATAGAGGAAGGAGCCATACTCTTGTATAATATTTAGGACATATAAGTCAATCACATTCCAAAATTGTGTGATACATACCTTAATATGCAATGCTGGTAAAGGCATAGTGGTTAGGGAAGAACGGACCTTTTACAAACTCAATTGGAATTATTTGATGAACCAAACACAGTGCCCATAAAGAGCGCCCCATACGTTGGGGGCTCCAACAAGTACAAATGCTTGCTGTTGTACTCTTGTGGGACCCCAATGTCCAGGGCGCCCTCTGCAGGCACGGGAAAAAAATACCTCAATTCATAGGCTGATCTTGGGAAAGGTTGCAAAGCTCAATTCTTCACTTGGATTTAGCATGGTGAGAATCAACTGGATCTCTTTCATTGCAATCAGATCCTTTCAACAGAGTCAGTCAAGCTCTTTGTGTGTTTAGATGATGAGAATATTACAGTTTTTTGGTGGAATTTTGAATTCAATGGCATGTAAAGGTTTCAAATCTTAACAAATATTGAATCAAGCTTCAAAAGACTGACTTCACTTTTGTAATGACTGGGTAAGTGTTGTATTTTCCAAATATATCCAAGCATGTCACTGGATATCTCAATTTTTGACTTCTCTGTTGCAAACAAATTTTGTCAGGTTGAGGTCACCCAGGGCAGCACCTGCCACCAACATGTTAGTGTATGTGTGTGAAATTGTGGTTTTGTCATGCTTTTGGGATTGTGCTGTGTTTGATTTACATACAACATGGCGGCGTCAGCCGCTAAAGCGGCGCCCGCCGCTAATTTGCTAGTATATATGATAGCTAAAAATTTACTCAACTTGTTGTACCTATGTAATGTGGGTTTTATGCCTCAGGTGGGTACACCATGTAAATATCCTTGTAGCAAGTCAGTCTGCACACACAAAAGACTTTCCTTATACCCTGTAAAGAACCATCAAAGAGGTGCCACAACAGGTGCATCTTCCCCTTAGCAACTGGGACATTGAAAGTCAGTTGACCCCAGCTGATGACAAAGGATCCCACAAATCCTATGAACAAAACACTATTCACAAAGGGTGCTCAACAACAATCTCAATCTAAATCCGACCAAAAGACTTTGAGATTTGTTTCAAAACTCTCTGTGTGTGCATGTCAACGTGCTACACCAATATTGACATGGTGGTAGTGATCAATCCTTGATGACCAATTATACTTCTAATCATTTTCCCCTGTGATTCTCAATTGAAGGGAAGTAGTTTGATGTTTATGGTGAACAAACATAACAAAGTGCCCCATAAGCACATAAGATCAAAACATAGGTGGGACTCAGGTGGACAGCAGCACATCATGTTTGGCAGCACCAATGTGCAGCCTGCATACATGCACCCAGAAAAAGGTGCTTGTGCACATATGTATTTCCTATTGGTTCCAGAGCAAGAGGCTCTGGCAAGATTTCATTGATTATTTTTATATTTATTTTCTTTTGCACCAGACCTCATTACGCTTACTAACTCTCTTTGAAACAAAAGAAAACCAATCTCAGTCCTTTTACATGACCAGTTGTAGTTCTAGATGATGGATACTACTTGGTCTGTAGCCAATATCTTTGACATATTTTTTTACCTTTTTTTTCTGAATGAAAACCCTCTTCAACAACAATTTTTGTGTCGCACTGTGCGCACCCTCCTATACGCGCACATCGAGCTGCGGAACCGCCGCGTCTGTGTGCACAGGCTGGAGAACCCAGCTGCCGTCCACGTGAGTAGGAGGGATTCACTCTGATTGGTAAATTCATGATTTGTGAGGCATAAAACCTTCCTAAAGGATAGTTCTTTTTCTTATTTTTCTTATACCAAAAGCCTTTGACCGAGCCTGAATATCAATTTCAAGAAAGACAGACATCAAGAGATTGGTCATACTGCGTATTCTTTTCTATCTCGGTCTCTATCTATCGTTATGTATGTAGCCCAGGGTATAGATCGGAGGATACCTTGGCCATAGTTGTCTCGGAAGGCAACTAATGTATACTTTACATATGCTGTGTCTGGCTGTGTACTTGACTACCAAAGCTCAAGACAAACAAATCGAAGAATGATACATATTCAAATCTGGTGATCAAGTGATCTTTTGACCAAGTTACTCAGTTTACAATACGATATTTGTTTTAAGGAGACTACAATTGCACAGCCTAGTTGAGGCTCTTTTGATTTACATTTTCGAGTGATATTGGTATTGATATTGATATTGAGAGATTCGGTGATTGAGATTGGTATGGTAATAGTTAAGATAGAATTCATGAGAGAATCCAGAATGAGATGGAGTTGATGAGAATGGAGTTGGATGAGTTGGATGAGATGGATGAAGTCATGGTGATTTGATTTGATTTGAGTGATGATGAGAAAGAGTAGAAAGTAGATTGATATTTAAAGACTGCTTACTACTGCTACTGCTACTGATATACTCAGAGGATATAGTATTCTTCTGATTCACTCAGCAGCAATTCACTCAGCAAATTACAATTCACTTTAAAAGTCTTCAAACTATCAACTATCAACATTCATCAAACCTCATCAAACTGACAGATATATCAATCGATCGATAAAGTAGAACTAATCAAAGTCAATTCAAACAAAAATGTCAACACCAAATCATTCAGAACAAGAACAACCATCAAAACGAATCAAATCAACTCTAACTCCATTCACTTCACCTTCTCTTCATGACCATCCATCAGCTCCAGCTTATCGTACTAGACTCAGAACTCGTTCAAATCAAACTCAATCACCTTCACCATCACCTTCATCACAAATCAATCTTCACCATTCAACTACGACGACTCATCATCTCATCAATCTAAGCCAAGATCCATTCCCCATCGATCCTGCATTAAACCCATCACCAAACCGTTCACCATCCTCACCATCATCCTCATCATTCCGCACGAACTGTGAATGTCAAAGCACATCACCCAACCAAATCTTGAACATAAACCCATCCAGACCTCAAGCTGATCAAAGAAACCCAAGTATCATCAATTTACCAAGTGAATTATTAGAAGAGATTTCAAACCATTTATCAAATGAGATTCCAAGTTTATTATCTTTATCTTTAACTCATAGTCAATTAAATTGGATAGCTTTGAAAACTTTATATCATTCTCCTTATCTTGATTCACGTTATACAGCATGGAAATTAAGAACTACTTTAAGAAATCATGAAAAGCTTTCGAAATTCATTAGAGTCTTGGATATCGATTTGAATAAGCTTTGTAAAGCTTCGATGTGGGCTTCTTGGCATTTACAAGAAACAGGTGGTGCAGTAAGTGATTTACTTCAAAAAAAAACCCAAGAACTTGAGATCTCATTTTGAATTTTCCATTTAACTAATCTTAATTTTTGGTTTAACTTTTGACTTTATAGGTAGTAGATGTTTTATCACAATGTCAAAACCTAATTGATCTAAGATTACAAATGCCCAAAGAATCCTCAATGTTCATGCAAGAATTTATCCTACCTATCCGAAACCTAAGTAACCTACAAACGTTTTACAAAGATTTAAAACCGACTCAAGACCTCTTTAACGAAAGTTTTCAATCCAGAATCAATCCACCCGCATGGATTTCAATGTTACAACTCTTATCGATGATTGGACATTTATCTACATTAAAAACTTTGGCTATTAGAGGTTTAGGATCAAGTTTAAGTTCGAAACCTATCTTTAAATCTCAACCGATTTCATCTTTTTTAATTAATTTGATTATCGTTCAAACTTCTATTAAAGAAAGAGATCTTCAACAGTTATTAAGGTATAATTCGGGACTTAAGTCTTTGACTTTGATCGAATCTACTTGTATTTCAAAAAGAGGCTTAGTAGAAGCTTTACAAGCTTGTGGAAAATCTCTTGAAGAATTAATCATCGGACCAGGTTGGTGGGGTAAAAGGTAAATCAACCCTTCTCTCTTCCAAGTCATCAAATTCTAATAAGTTTTTTTTTTTTTTTTTTTTGGCAGTGATACTTCTTTTCCATTAGACGATGTGATTGGTAGTTTAAATTCATTAAAGAAATTAAATGTAGAAGGAGACCTAATCAGTCCCGAGTTTTTTAAATCAACCTATCAATTAAATCATCAAAAAACTCATCAAAGTCTTACTAGATTAAACGAATTGAAAGTTAAGAAATCTAATACGTTTAAGTTTAGGGAAACTTTGATTGGATTAAAGGATATGATTAAGTTTCATTCGACTATTAATCCTGGTTTAACTTCCAGAGGTGGAGTGGGAACTGGAGGGGGATTGGTGGGAGGAGGAGGAGGAGGAGAAGGGGAAGATGGTTGGGTACCTCCGATTAAGTTGATCGAGTTGGAAAACTTGGGTAAATTAGGTTGGAAAAAAGATGAAATGAGTTTAGTAAATGAAATTTATTATCCTGGAACATTTGTAATTTAAAGATGAATTTGAAAAAATCCGAATTTTGAATCTTTTTTCTTTTTTTAAAATTCCTTGACTTTTTTCGTGTATGTTTGTGTTTGTGTGATTTCATCCAATTTATAATTAATCAGTTCTTGTTTCTTTAAAATTGTAGTTTTTTAGTCTTTTTTAGTTTTTAGTTTAGTCTTTAATCTTTTTTTGAGTAATCTTTTTGAGTAATCTTTGTTTGTTTTAATAGAAAAAAAGAAATCGTGGTGGTAATTTTTTTTTGGTTTTGGTTTTTGGTTTTTGGTTTTGTAAGAAATTGAATTATAATTAGTATATCTTTTTTTATATCTTTTTTTTATATAATTTTATAATCAAGGATTTAATTGATTTGAATGTGATTTTTGAAGGTTTTGGTGAACAGAAGCCTTGGGATTTGTAAAGGACTTGAAAGTTAAAGGGAAGAAGTGAAGACAAGAATTCCAAAATTAAAATATTTAAAATCATACAGCTATTTCATTATATGTTGGACATTGAGAAACAAATAATCAAGTTTTTTAAGTACTACCTTGAAGTAGATCAAACTTCAAACTTCACCAATGAAAAACAGACAATAGAGTGGTTGCTGTACTGTTTAAATCCAGTTAAAAACTGAAATTTCAACTTGATTATTTTTTCTTGATTTCAGCCAAGATATAATGAAACAGTAGTACTTGATTTTCTGTTTGATATTTTTGAGAATTTGGAAATGGGACCGTCAAACTCACTACTAGATTAAAGAAATATTGCCAAAGGCAATACCCGTGTTTGGTGCGAATCCCAAGGCGTAAGCCCCGGGTATATAATATTACTTGAACAAATGATGAAACACGCCCTACGGGGTGGCTAGGGCCATACATAAAATATAAGGAAAAAAGGACAATTATAACTAATATATGATAAAGATTTTATAACTACTAAGAATGAAAATAAATAATACTAGCGAAAAAAGAAAATGAATATGTAAATAGAACTAAAATATCAATAAAAAAGAAACTGAAACAACTATACTCGAACAAAATAAAATTAAAAATTAAAAAACTAAAATATTCGACTAATTGATGATGCTTGACACTTTACTTTCACCGGCCTTTAGCCAGGGAGTAGGAGGGAGGGATGAAAAAATTTCTGAATAGAAAGATAGAGAGAAAACTTGAGTATGATGAGTTGTTGACGAAAGTAACTGCTATGGGAAAGATGTGGATGATGGTGGTCAACAGCTATGATGTCATAGCTGATGAATCAAAAGATAAAGTCAGGAGAAGTTCAACCTGTCAGTATATGTTTACATGTAAAATCATCCAACTTTCCCATTCCACTCTGTTAATAACGCGTTACCAACAACAAATCATTTAATTTTCATTGGTCAGTAAAAATGTAATAAGAAAAAAGTTTTTAGTTGTCTTTAATATATGCAAAATTGGAATTTGAAAAAGGAGTAGGTAGATTTTTGACACTGATCAGAGGCAAGGTCCAGGGATCCATACAAGAAAAGTATGAAGTTCTTTCAAATTTCAGGTATAAAAATCATCCAAATGGGCATGTTCAAGTTAACCAAAAAATGTCTAAAACTTTTTTAACTCTTGCCTACTACTACTAGTACCAAGCAATAATTGTCATATCAATTTAAATAAGCTGTCCATATAACCCTCAATACCTCATTCCACTGACCAGCTAACCATTTGATACCAATAATGAAACCTACTCCAAAACCCATGTGTGGTCATAAAGGATTCAATTCTGAAAACAAGAATAAAATCAAGCCAGTCTGCTTCATATATATATATTTTCTGAGTGTTTCCTTGTAAGACATCTTATACCCCATTGAAGTGAAAGCAAAGCTCCAAAGTCACTAGGCAGCTATATGTGGGTTTTGCTTGAAAGTGGTAAGTACTCACTTCAGGTTCAGTGCTAGTATTGTCCATGACATCTTCTGCAGTGCATCTGGTTTTGGTGCCAGTGCCAGTGGTAGTGCAATATGACACTTGCAGCAACCCAAATCACAGTCATGGGTTAAAGTTCCAGTGACCCAGTTGGTGATTGATTTACCCAAGTGTGTGTATGAGTTTCCAGAGTTGTGAAAGGTGCTTGGAGTTGAGGGTAGACGAGTGTGTTATGAAGGTTTAGTCATAGATGTGCCATTCTTGGCATTTTAGTCATAGATGTGTGCCATGCTTGGAATTTTGAGAGTGTATGTAAGACTTGTGGACTTGAAACTTGAAAAGGGGCTGAAGGGAACTTGGACTTGGTTGGAGAAGAATCTCCATGAAACCATCAGCAGAATCAAAGGCTTCACCTCATAAGACCTCAAAGACCAGGTTTGTGAAGGATTGTCTGCTCACTTTCTTGCAAGAATGTTCAGAAGGTTCTGGACTTTGTTGGTTTTCACTGATTATCAAGTTGTGAGATGTTGATAAAATTTGTGAGGTAAGATGGTCCCATTGACTAACAGATATTGGATTTAGAATGGTCTAAAAATTGTGTGGATTGAATCTGAAGTAAAAGTTTGGAAACAATGCTTGGTGGTTCCTGGAGTGATACTCCCAGTTATAGACTTCTGGAGTTATTTGAAGGATCCCACTATTTAGCGCCCCCCCAGGGAAAACCCGGCACCCCATTAGTTTGGGGTAATACCCGCGTGGCCCGACAATACCCCAATACCCGAGTGTCACCAGCCAAAATTTGGCCGAGTTGGACCTATAGGGCTCCCAAGGGGCTCCTCAACAGGGCACAATCTTGCAGATGAGCCCTCATCTTACCTAATTCATGCCCTTTTTGTTCTTGATGGGGTAACAAACATCATTAAAAGAAACAAAAGGGCTCAAGAATTCTTTTGTGCCCGTACCGGCCCAATACTACACGGACCAAAGGACTCAAGCAAAGAAGGAACTTGAAGGGAGGCACATATGTTTTCCGCACCATCCTGTTCAATTGCTCATAAAACCTTGCCCTCAATCCGAAATCTCCAGATCAATATGCCCTCAAAACGACCACGAAACAGTGATGCTGACAATCCTCCAGATCCCCTGCCAAAAAATACATGAAGCAAGGCAGGACCACGACGGGCATAGATGATATTTCAATTTCAAACATCCTTACCACTTTGACAGAAAACAAACCAAGCTCAAGTGATGCACTCATACAGAGTCCCAATTATGTCACTGTTTATAGAAACAATTGAGAAACTTCGAGACGAGATCAAGACACTGAAGTTGCAAGGGATGGTATGAAAGTGACTTCCACATGTTGTTCTTTGTTATAAAAGCGCGCCTGAAGATCTTTTGCCTGAAACAAATCCCTTTCCAAGCTGTCCTGCAAACGTTGAACAAAATAATCAGCCCTTGGTACTCTCGAAGACCGAGTTAGGGCGCTAAACCGCGGAATTGGTATCGATTAATAAAACAAAGTTGAAGCGACGCCCCCTTGTTGTTGAAAAGGGGCTACAGATCTCTTGGCGCCCCCGGGTCGACCCGAAGGGGGCGCCGGATATCAGATAGGGGGCGAGAAATAGTGGGATCCTATTTGAATTAGATGGAAATGTGAAGTTTTCAAACTCACAAAACTTAGTATAAAATATACTAAAGCAGGCGCAGTGTTTTGGGCGAATCCCAAGGCTAAACGCCAAGGGAGATAAAATTGCTTAAAACAAAACATAAGATCACACCCTACGGGGTGGCTAGCGGACCTTAAAACCACACTAACACAACAACAACAAACAGCCCTTAACCAAAACAAAAAACAAGAACCGCAAATAACTAAAATAAAAATCTGAATAAAATAGTACAACCAGACCTCTTCTCTTCTCACATCTTTTTTTTTTTTTTTATAAAAAACCTAAATAAACTCGCTATAACCTGAACAAAAAACTAAACGACTCAATAAATGAAAACTAAAGAACTTAAAATGGATAAGAAGCAACCTAATAAAAGGGAATAGAAGGGTGGGCTGGTGTAAAAAAGTAACACTAGAGAAAGAGATAGCTAGAGATTTGAAAGAAATCGCTAGTGAACGCTATGGGAATGAATTTTAAATGAGATTCGGAAAAGGTGGTAAACAGCATGACATCATAGCTGCAGATCTGCAAGTTATAAACCAAGGTCCGACCCGTTAGTAAAGTTTATACACATGTTCAAAAGCCCGAATCACATTCACATTCCCATCCGTTAATATCAAGATACCAACAACTAATACTTCTTATATGTAGGATATGATGTATCACCATGTGATTGATATTTTCAATTCTTTGATTTATGTTTATCTTTTGTGGACTTTGATAATACAAAATAAACTTCATCCTAGACAAAAAGAGGATCTGATATGGCTAGAGAGGATGTTCTTTGGTTCCAAGACTTGAAAGATTTTAAATGTAAGTATTCCTTGGGACTCATCGTACCATGGTTTTCTGACCAAGATCAGATAAGTTTTAATGCTGGTTTGTTGGAAGACTTATTTGTGTTGAACGCCTTCTGTGAAATGAAGGAAAGTTGCTGTTGGTTTTGGAGAGGTATTGGATTGATGGGATATGGTTTTGTTTGGAATGATAGACAATGAGGATAAGTTGGTGTCTTGATATTGATCATGAACAGACAAAGTTAAAGGTGAGTACATGATAGCATGGGAGTGTTATAATCTCAAATACTGGATCATGGGGATGGTACCTGTAATTAATTGGGTGGTGGGAAATCATTTGATTGATAATGACCTACCTTGTCAGCTGAAAGACTTCAGTGTAATTGTTTAATGGAAGTCAGAAGCATAATCTGATTCCCAACATTTGTTGCCTTGATTGGATTGAGGTGAAAAGCGCTTCTGATCTTTTTGATACATGACTCTTGTGGATAAGTGGTATGATGAACTGATTGAGATTCAAGGATGAAGAACATTTTTGGAAGTTGATTGGTCAAGATTCAAAAAAAAGAAAAGAAGATGGCTGTGTACTATGTAATTTTATGTGATTTGCTGTATGGTGTAGTGAGTGAGTAATTGAATACAGTTTTGTTTGATTTATCGAATAATTTAAGTTTGAATGAGAGAGACTGAGCAGCAATATCACTCATCAAACTACTAAACACCAACACCAACACCAAAAAGAAATGAACTCATCATAATCAAATCAAATCACAAACCAACAAGATACCAACTCACCACTCATTTTAACCATTTTACCATTCAACTCACATCACATCAAATGTTAAATCATCAACCATTCATCATTCTATTCCGAACGATACTCTTAATCAATCAACTTATCATCCCAACCAGCACATCAAATCTAGAATTCCAACTCTACAAAAGATCTACTTCTCAAAACAGATTTATCCATGCCAAATCAAAACTAATCAATAAATATTCTTCTACTACTTCTACTACTTCATTACAAAAAAGACAAATCTCAGTTCCTATCATTTCAAACCTTTCGAATCCTTCTTCTTCTTCGACTACTACTACTAATACTGGAACTTATTTACATAATTCTACCGTTAGAGGTGTTAGTGATGGGAGAGGTGGAGTGATTGGATTACAACCTACTTATAATTTTCAAGCTGATCTGTAAATTACCATTTTCTTTCTCTTTCTCTCTAAAACTGATCTTGGTTAAAAAACTAATCTTACTTTCCTGTTTTCTTACTTTCCTGTTTTTCTGGTTTTTGATCTGGGTTATTTAATTTAGTGAATACTTCATAACGATTCAAATAGGAACCGATTCACCCCAATCACTCAATATAATCCTAGACACAGGTTCATCAGATTTTTGGGTAACTTCTCAAAACTGTACACTTCAATCTGGTTGTGATTCAAACCTTTTAAGTAAATTTGATTCAAGTCTTTCTAATTCGACTAATACTCCTTTTTCAATTAAATATGGTAGTGTAAGTTTTCCTTTCTTTTATCATCTTTTTTGTTTTGTTTTTTTTATAAAAATTTTGATTTTTTTTTTCTTTTGGTGGGAGGATGATAGGGATCTGCTACGGGGAAAAGTTTTATTGATAATATTACTTTTGCTGGGTATCATCTTACTAATCAACAATTCGGTAAGTCAACTTTGAATGATTCTTAAACCGTATTAAGTTTGAATTGATGAATGATGATTTTTTTCGAAAATATAGGTGTGGTAGATACAGTTTCTAGTGAATTACTAAGTAAAGATGTATCAGGACTAATGGGTAACCCATCACCCCAGATTTTCCCAAACCCTTCCCAACCTCAACTAACCAAACCGAATCTCTATTTCTCAAAAAAAGGTCTAGGATTCCAAACATTATCATCATCAGGTATCAAACCACTCTGGCAAAGTCTACTATCAAATCCAACCCAATACAACCTAAGTTTTCCCGGATTCTCATTCGCTCTCACAAGGTTTATCAACCAAACCAATGCAAGCGAAATCGAACCTGGAGGATTATTTACAATAGGAACGTTGAATACTTCTTTGTTAGAAGGAGAAATCGAATTTATTCCTTTACCGATCGGATTAGAATCTTATTGGTTAATACCTATGGAATCGATTTCTGTTAATGGATTTAGTTTGGATTTGTCAAAACAGAGAACAAAGAATGTGGCAATTGATACTGGTACTACTTTGATTGGTGGTCCGGCTGATGAGGTGGCTGGGTTTTATAAGCAGATTCCGGGTGCTTTACCTGCTACTGGTTCTTATCAAGGTTTTTTTTTGAATTCTTTTTTTTACATCTTTGGGTTTAAGTTGGATCTCTGATATGACTCTTTTTTTGGGTTCGATAGGGTATTATTCTTATCCTTGTAATTCTTCAGTTAATTTAAATTTCAAGTTCGGAACTCGGAATTATTCAATGACTTCACAAGATTTCAACTTAGGACCGTTTCCAGGGAATCCTACTACTACTACTACCAATACTTCTTCTTCCTCTAGTAGTAGTAGTAGTGGTGGTGGTTCTGCGGGTAATCCTTCAATGTGTTTAGGTGCTGTGTTCGAATTAACATTGGCTGGTGCTTCGAAAGATTTGATATCTTGGGTCATGTAAGAAATCTTTTTAAATTGATTTTTTTCTCTGTGGGGGGCTAATGTCTTGTGGTTTTTGCAAATTATAGTGGTGATTCATTCCTAAAAAAGTAAGCAAACCCTTTCCTCCTTCAACCAAACCTCAAACCCCTAACCCGATTTCTTTTTCTTTGTGGGAAATTAGTGTTCTATCAATCTATAGATACACACCCCCATCCATCGGTTTCGGAACCCTTAAATCCCCTCCCTTCAACCAAACTTCTTTTCCACAAATCAACATCAATGGAACTTTATGGAATCCAAATACGTTTAAGTTTATTGATTTGAATCAAACTTTTGATCAGAATTCTTTAAACGGGGGGAATTCAAATGCTTCTTTGGCTCTTTTTGATCAGAAGGATGGTGGGATTGGGTTTAGGAATGATAAGGATAAGAAATCGGCTGCTACGAGGATTTGGGTGGGGAAAATCATCGGAGGAGGTCTTTTTTGGTTCCCGGTTTTGGGGTCGTCGCTTTTTTCTTTTTTTTGGTTTGAGTTTGGTTTGAGGTTCTGAGGTTTTGAAGTTTGGTAGTTTTGTTGTCGTTGGTATTCTTATTGTTATGCTTATTGTTATTGTTGTTGTTGTTGTTGTTTATATAGACATTAGTTTAAAGAAATCTTCTTTTGCTTTACTTTTTTTTTGTTGAAGAATATATTTGGTAAAGGTTTGATCATCTATTTATGGGGTTTTTAGTTTTTTTTTTCATCAGTTTTTTTATCATCAGTTTTTTTATTGGGTTTTTTTATTGGGCTTTTATTGGTTTTTTATTATCAGTTTTTATCATTGGTTTTCATTATTGTGGTTTTTTATTGGTTTACATTGTTTGCATAAATCTTTTTTTATTATTATTAAATATTCCCATTTTCTTGATCTTGATCTTGATATTGATTTTTCTAACGTTTATCTTTTTTTGGATTCATTTTCAAATTCAAGGGGTTTTCTTTTTTTTTTGGTTGTTTTGAAAGTTTCTTTTCTTATTAAATATAATATATACATATATATATACAATGATCAAAATGCATGCAATTTTTTCTATGACACACAGCTATTTTGATGAGTTTTACCATTAGTGGTACACAAACATGAACACCTGACCTAAAAACCCATGGACAAAACCCATGACAACCTGATTGTTTTTTGGGTTTTGTCCAACAGGGAAGTGGAAACAAGAAGTCTTTTATTGGAAGTTGGCTTGCAGAGTTGACTAAAGGGAATGGGTGAAGGCGTGGGTCATCCAAGCAAGAAGTGCAATTGGCTCCACCAAGGAAACAGCGGGATCGTGTCACGACTCGCAAATGAGCTCCATTAGAATTTGGGACGCAGCTCCGATGGGGTTCTTTCAAACCCCCTCTCTCTTTTGATCCAGTCTCGATTCCGTTTGTCCCAGAAAATTAACAAATCTTTTTACAAAAAATTGTTTCAACTTTCCTCTTCAAATTTCCACTCAAAAAATACGTCTAAATACAGTATAGTAGAAGTTTCATCCAAGTTCTTCAATACATCTAATACTGTAGTTCATTTGCAACGCTAGTCATCAGATCTTTTTTCAAAAAAAAAAATTATTATTGAATATAAATTCTTCGTTTTACATCTCATCGTATTGCAAACCATGCAAAATGAAATCGCTGAAACAGTCAATGCAGCAACTACTCATTTTGAGGCGTTGGAAAAGCTTCTGGTGGACTACGCCCGTCAAGGAGGAAGCAACAGCATCTCCATGTGGGACCTCAGAGATGCGTTTAGCGCTATCATACCCACCTCGGACCCATACTTCACATATAGGTTTTCCGTCTTCGCACGCACGTGCATCGACCTCGACGCCAGGGCACATCGCCGGATCTGGGAAACTGTTGACGCCGTCCCAGACAATGTCTCTCCACAATCACTGGAGGAGGATGAGCCGATTGTGCTATCGGCAGGAAGTGCAGCGGACAATCTCCGAGCCCCTGAACCGGTGCTATTCCACGCAAGACCGGTTTTCATTGATGCCCTTGCAAAAGATCCCTTCAATGACGAAGCCCTTGAAGTGGCAGCGAACTGTCCAGTTGAAGATGGACAACCACTTAAGGAGATATCCCCTACTCCTCCCTCTTGTCGCGAGACTCAAGCTAGGAGTCATCGCAGACAGTCTCATCGCTCTTGTAGCCCTCGACCATCTAGGCGGCGTTCAAAAAGCCCTCGCCAAGCAAGACACTCCCGAAGTCCCAGAAGGTCTGCCAGGAGGTCAAGATCACCCCGTCAAACACGAAGGAGATACTCCCCTAGCCAGCGTGAAAGAAGTCCGGGGCACAGCCACTACAAACACCGCGAGTCAAGTCTACGGGGAAGGTCTGAAAACCAACACCAACCTAGATCTTTGCTCTAAAGAATGGACAACGGGACCTTCAACCGACCTATGGTGGAAGAAGAAGCCATGCCACACCTCCCACCACGCCCTTTGAACGTTGTACCAAGTGCCTTGCTACAAACAGCGTCCGCACCACGGCACCGACCTCAACTTCCTACAGGTCCCCCTCAATCGACGTCCAGAGGAAAACAACGACAAACATGTCCTTCTCCTGACGAAACAACCAACGAGCGGGCCATCCAATTGGCCCTTCAAAAATTATTGGTCTCGGCGGGCGCAAAACCCACGAAACAACTTGCCTTCCAAGCACCGAGAAATGATCTTGAAGGGAGAAAATTTTTGACTTTGGCTAGAGAAATCAGCGATATCAAAAATGAGTACAAAGAAGAAATCAAAAGATCATGTTCCCTTTTTGAAGAGTCTCAAAACAAACCCGCTCAATATCCAAAATCCCAGATTAAAGACTTGCTGGAATATAATTACGTTGATCTTGAAAAACTATACGTCAAGGTTTACAGTAAACCATCTTCATCCAGAACCATCAAAGTCAACAAAGCAGATGACCTGGAATTCGTGGAAAAAGTCAAGGGTTTACCAATCCGAGATAAAGTACACTGGCAGCACCTCATCAGGATCATCGAGCACGCTTATAAAGCAGCTTTTCCACCAGCAACAAAAGCCGTCGGGACTTACTTCAATTACATCTTGGAACTGGTGGCCGATCCTAGCTTGGGGGTCCATTGGGAAGATGTACGAAACTACGACGCAGCTTTGCGACATCAATTCGCGCAAAGACCCTGGATCAGCTTTGGAGACTGGACAAACCCAGAGCTGGATAGCATCAAAAGCTGAGTGCTGTACAGTAAAGAGAGCAAGTTGGGCCAAGGCCTCGACATCGGAGTCAAAGCAACTCTTCAAACAACTAAATCGTCGGCCACTAGAACCTCGACATCAACTCCTCGGACGACTACGTCATCCAGTTTGAAAACCAAACCTAAACCCCACCCAAACTCACGTCTACACTTCCCTTACAAAGTCAAGGCTTTGAAGCTTTGGGCTATGGGCGATCAGCCTTGTGGGTTGTGGAACGGCGGTATTTGCCCGCATACCAACAACAAATGCAAGCGAGCGCACCACCTTTGCAACAAAGTGGGATGCGACAACGATCCTTGAGGAGGCCTCGTCCACAAATGAACCAAACTCAAGAAAATTCCTCCGGAATTTGGAAGTATACCAAAATCTCACTTATCACTCTCCTTCCGTTGTGGTAATCAATCTATGAGACCAATCAAAAAATCAAAAAAAAACGAATTTTGAATTACATCAATTATATTAAATATAGTTTAATATTTAATCATTTTATCATTTAAAAAAACTTAATAAGATAAGTATAAACTATTAACAAACAGATTAAAAAAGAAAGAAAGAAAAAAACATAAGAAAAACTCGAAAATATAGGTATACAGGTTGAGAAATGGTTTTTCAGGTAGTATTATTAGGTTTATGGGTTTAGTAGGGCTATAATACGAAAGAGGAGCATTGTTTTAGTCAGCAACAACTTTAATCTTGGTGGTTGATAAGAGAAAATAGAAGTTATTAAGGAAATGGGAAAAAGTCGAAATTGGTAAACAAGGGTTTACAGGTAGTTTTACATATGTAACAGTGGTATTAGTAATAAGGGTACTCAAAGTAAGTATGTACGTGTACATACTTTTTGCTATATACTTTTTTTGGCGGGGAAGGCGAGGCCAAAAGTATATTTTTTTTCTTTGTCCCCGCCAAAAAAAGTATGTAGCGAAAAGTATGTAGCGCTACATACTTTGCTTTGAGTACCCTTAATGAATAAGGTTGCCAAGGGTGTTTTAGGGATTTTCACGGTTGGAGATTACTGTGTAATGTTACAGAAGGCAAGAAAGGCTTAGTAAAAGGTGTGAAAAGTGAAGAAAATAGGTGAAAATAGTCAAAAATGAAGGTTTTCAGCTGATTACATGTGTCAAATGACGTCAGAACATGATGAGTAATAGTTCATTCGACGCAGAATCATCAAATTCATAATGTACAATCTTTAAATCATTAGTTACAGAGGTGTATGGCAAAAGTTATAAGGGATCAAAGGATTTGATTACACATCAACAAGATCACAAATCATTAATAACAAGCAATTACATCATTGAAATGCTGAATCATCATAAGATCAAGTCAATATTCATTCTAGAACATTCAAAACACAGCATATACACAGCATTTGATCATAAGAATAGAGATTAGTCATGTTCTACTGGTCAAATTAGTAATAAATCTTATCAGATGATGAATAGAAGATCACATTACATCATAGTAATGATCATAATGGGTTGATGAGGTACTTATGGCGAAATTTAGGAATGTAGAGAGTGGTTGCATCATTAGATCATAGCTGTTTACCAGCATTTTAGTCATCTTTTGGTTTTTTAGATGGTAAAGAGGATTTTTTAAGAGCTGTTTACCACTTTAACAATTTGTATTGATGTGTTTATAAACTTGTGTGCTTTGTGCGAAATTATCTTTCCTTTCTTCTTCATCTCTTACATAGCATTACTCATTTTTATCATTATAAACTTATTAGAGCAGTACTAGGTCACTCAAATCAGCCCTTCATCAGAAGAGAAATTTGTTTTATGTGCTTTATATGACACTGTCATTCTGGAATAATATCAAAAAGATATTGAGCTTATTTTTCAACATTTTGACTCGACTGGAATAACACTTTAAATGTGTTGAGCTTATTTCTCTGGTGCTTTTTATCAAGATACTTTTCTCTTATTATCAAAGACCTGGTTATATTTCTCTGTTATCAGGAGACTTTAACAACAAAGTCCAGTTTGTTAAAGATTCTCAGAAAGAGCAGTCTCAGACACCTTCTTTAGATCTATTATATCTTCAGATTATCCTCTTTCAAAGCACTGTATAGCCCTTGTTGTGCTATAAGTACTACACCGTCTCCTTCTCCATCACCACCGAGCCTCTGCCTTCACCTCCTTCAGATCCAGACCCCCTCGCTGAGTTCGCCATCAGACGCCACCCTCACATATTCAAGATTGTATGCCCTATTAACGTAGATTGTATGGAGCTATGCCTACGTCCACATCCCAACCAACCCTTTGTACAATCTGTACTACGAGGGCTGCGCAAAGGATTTTGGCCAATGTCGTCACAACCGTCGGATGACACCATCATTCACGCTAACCACGTCCATGACACGGAGGGCAAAGCTATCCTACGAAAAACTCGCGACAAAGACGTAGCCCTGGGACGATTCTCTCCAGGTTTTCATTCCCGTATTCAAGGAATGAAGGTAGCGCCACTTTGCTCAGCAACTAGTAAAAGTTCCGGGAAAACCAGGATGTGCACCAACATGAGCTACGGACGGCCAGCACCAAACGAATTAGTCAACAGAAGTCAAATCAAGATCAAACTCGATTACCTATCTTCCTTTCTACCATCCCTGTTGATCAGAAACCGCTTAGGCTGGCAGTCAACAGTTTGGAAATTGGACGTCGACTCAGCATTTAGGATCCTGCCGTCACACCTACGATGGCAACTGCGGCAGATTGTCAAGATTGACAACATGTATCATGCAGACAGGTGTATCAACTTTGGTAGTGCGAGCTCACCGAAAATCTGGTGCTCTTTCTTTTCGTTGGTACTATGGATTGCCCATTACGAACTACGAATCCCAGCTCTTTTTGCCTATATGGACAATTCATGGGGCCTGAATCATGCAGCAGAAATGGTAACGTTCAAGGAACATTCCATCCCAGTCAATCAAGCCAAGTTTTTATCTCTATTCGACCTCCTCAACATCCCATGGGCATGGGAGTGTTGGTTGTAGTAGGATGAGCGTTTGAGAGATGAAATATCTCAATTTGTCATGTTGTTCCTGATAGATCTGCTGATCTTAGCATTTGTATTTCCTCTTGCAATATTTGATTTTCTCTCTTACAGTTACTCGTATGTTTCTCTTAACTCTTAGCAGTGTCTTGTTTTTCTGTCTTTAAAAGCACCTATGAGTCTTCACAAGGGTTTGATCCTCATGTTTTCAAACCCTTTCTTCATCACTAAAGCAATCTCTTACTTACGATGTATTGCTTTTACCGTGATTGACTCATAGGTAAGCTTTTCTCTTTTGTAGTTTTCTCTCATCATCATTTCTATCTTCACTGTACATGTTATGTGTGTTGTTTTCATGTTTGTGCTGTCAGAAATAAAGATGTTTTCAAACCCTTTCTTCATCACTAAAGCAATCTCTTACTTACGACGTATTGCTTTTACCGTGATTGACTCATAGGTTATGAGCCGATTTTTTCAAGTAAATTCACGGATAATTTACATACGTCAGTTTTGCTTGAGCATTCTCGCGATTATCTTTTTATATTTTGGTGTTGCAATGTCTACTGGTGCTTCTTTGCCGTCATCTCCTGCAAACTCAACATCAGCCTCACCTGAAACTACTGCTTTACCTGGTTCACCTGAATCATTATCTTCTTTGGATTCTTCCTCTAACTCAACTCTCACTACTTGGCAAGCGCCTCAAACGTTGGTCATGACTACCTTACCAGTTGGGAATGCGGCAGACAATCGTATCAAGATCCCTCAACTCACTGCCGGTATGTTTCCAAACTGGAATAAACGGTTACACTTCTCTCTTCAGACTCGAGGTCTCCTCGCTTTTTTGGTCTCCGACACCCCTCCTACCGATGCTTCTGAGTTGGCTACGTATCAACGAAATCAAGGCCGGGTGATGGAAATCATTTTGAACTCGCTCAACGCTTCGAATGAGGCTCTTATTGAACTTACCAACACTCCGAAGATTGCCTACACCAAGCTTGCAACTGCTCACGGTTCAAGTGGTGGAGTGCTTGCTGCCGCGGCTATCTGTGAAATTGCAACAGCTCGATTAGAAGTTGGTCAATCCTTGTCAGATTACGTTACTCAAATACGTACCCTTCATAATCAATTAGCACAATACGCTAGTGAGGATAAGGATATCGCCTTGTCACCCAAACTTCTTGCTATCTTTCTTCTGAACGGTTTGGGTAAAGAATTCGACTTTATCACGGCACCTTTCTACGCGGATCTTTCTGCCCTTACGGTGAACAAAGTAATGGATCGATTAGTGCTCGAGGTGGCCAAACAATCTTCGTCAGATCAAAGACCTTCTACCTCAGCTTTCAATGCCAATGTCAGATCATCAGTCTCATCGAATAGTCATGGAAACAGAAAAATTGGTCCTGGTCCTAACGATCTATGCCAATTAGAACATCATAAAGGATTACCTCACACTAATCAAGAATGTTTCCAGCAAAATCGAGCGCGAGCTAAGCCTTCTGCGTCTACCGGACCTCCAGCATCCACTGGTTCTTTGACTACTGAAGAGATGGCGAAACGGTACATGATGATTGAAGCTGCTCACCTTGCGAAGAAACCTTCTCTGAGTACCAAAGCACCTACCCCTCCTATTCCTGCCTATGCTGTTTCTACTCAAGATTTTAATGCGGAAGCCATGGTTAGTGACTTTCCGGATGTAGGTTTTCACGCGCAAGGGTATGCTGCTGGGGAAATTGTTGGATTATCGTATGGGTCAATCTTGGCTGATACAGCGGCTACTAGGGGTATGGTATCGAATAAGAGCTACTTTGTGCACATGCGTCCCATCAAAGAAGTAGGAATTACTGGTATCTCGGATGGACAACAATTCGCTACTCACATAGGTTCAATCATATTACCTGGTTTCTCTCATCTTGACCATACTCCAACCGACATCTTAATTCCAAATGTGCTCTATGTACCGTCCATGAAGGTCAACTTATTAT